TATGGAACGGACACCCAGCTCAACATCACTTTTCAGGTATTGCATTCGATGGTCTGGAACGGAGGGGTCTGGAACGGAATTCGGGGACTTGATCCGGAGCTCTGGATCGGGGTCTGGATCGGGATGTGCGCTCGCTCTTGTTCCGGACCTTTCATACTGAGCAGTAGCCATATAAGCCCCCCTGACTACAGCTCATATGACCCTATCACTCCCCTAATTTTTCAAAAGCCATGCCCAATCAAGCCCACAGGACTCAATAGCCACCCAATTCCTGAACCTTTGCAAAACCCCAAGCACCAAGACCGACTGGTGGTTGGAAGAGAATTAAGGATTGGATTCTCAAGGCAGTCCCGACATTCCTTCCTTCTTTTACTAACCGCTAGCATGAGGATGTCCTAGAGGCTCTACACGCTGAACCTTGAGCTCCAAATACTTAATCGTGATGACAATTGCTAAGCCAGCTGCTCGTAGAGGCCAATCTCGCCTCAAGTCTCAGTCCCGAATCCAGGGTCCCTTCAATTCTGGTAGACGTTTATGACATAGTGGCAGGTCAAAGGAAAAGGGAATGGACAATTGGCTTATACTGGGATTGGGTTCAGGCGCTAGGTAAGCACAATACCAAACACTTGTGGTAATGTGCAGTGGTATTTCTGAGCGACTCCAGAAAGTACCTCGTTCTAACTTGGAGTTTCCCTCATCTAGCTTTGATCTGGGGGCTGCTTCAGGATGTGCAAGAATCTTCCAGGAACATGTTAATCTCACAGTATGGGTCTCGGCTAGTAGGTCGCTACAATGAAGACCCTAGTTCATATGAGCCACTGTCTAAACTCCTAGTATCCCCCTTAATAACCCCTATAGTAGTCCCCTATGTAATCCCCTATATATCCCCCCTTGAAGGAGTTTAGACTATAGTTCATATTGGCAAGCAGACAAAACGACCGCTCTTCGGGCAAATCACGTAGGCCCAACATCAGGTAGGTCAGTGCCACATGATCATCCATGAGTTGCTCGTTTGGATGAAGTGTGGAGAAAGTTATGATGTTTTGATAGTATGGGAATTTGGTTTACTTACCGGCAAGAACCTCTGCCAGCAGATCACTGCCATTGCTTTCATTGGGCGCCTTGTTTCTACCAAAGCCTATGCACCTGATGTCGTTGCTTTTTGCAGACTGGGCTGGCCATGATGGCAGGGTTTATTCTTGCTACTATGCCAGCCAATTCTTGCGAGTGAAAGTTCATCAGTGCTACTATGTGTGCGGAAAACCGCTGCCCGCTCGCATGCCAAATGCGAAACCATTAATCCGCTCCAAGAACTCTGACCACTAACCCTTAAACCGCAACCCACCCACGGCCCACTTGCAACGGGGGTACGAGCGGTGCAGTTCTGCACCGTGGTGCGTACTGGATGTTCTCCATCCTACTAAGTAAGGGACTGTCTGGTTGTGTGGGACTTCTCGAAATCTCGAGCTCGGTAGTAATAGTACGCTTTCTGGACGGGTTGCGAAGCTAGTAACCTACGATGACTCTTAGCCGCCACCTGCATCCTACGATCTCCTACCCCTTACGTTGCCCAATTTCAAAACCTACCAGGTGCTACCGCAAGTAGCTCTATCAGAAACTCACTCGGGATCATTCTACAGAGAAGAGCGTTATTGCAGAACATTAGCCCAATCTTGAGGGGAGAGGAGTAGCCGCAGCGGCGGCAACAAAGTAGAAGCAGAAGTGGCTAGAAATTTGCCATCAGCGGTCAATAGTGAATAGCCGTGGTGGGGGTAGTGGGAGTAGTGGGGGTGACAGGGGTTGGTGGGGCGGTGGGGCTGGGGTCGCTGTCGGGGCCGGAGATCTTCCTTTGAGTTTCAGGATTCTCGGTGGCTTCGTGATGAAGGAAGGGTTTGGAGTCAGGGCTATCGGAGGGTTGAGTAGCCAAAATGTTTGATACGCAGGGATCTGGTGTTGCAGTAAACCAAGCTGCTACTCTCTACGAGCTCTGAAGGGAAGCCAGGCTGTTCTGAAAAACTTCCTTGCTTTACACTAAAGTTATGCAGATTGCAAAGGCAGTGAGTGTCAGGCCTCATGAAGATCCTAAACGCCGTCCCATCCTAAACCCAGCATCAAGCTCGGCCCGTCCGTGCCATCCACACCGGCCGCTGGGGAATTGGCAAGGATAATGCCAGGCCGGCCACGGTCGGTGCGGGTTTCGTTGGTGTACCTTTGCTTTACAGTCCCTGGAAAAGAATACGATCTAACAATCGGTGGAGAGGAGTGTCTCAGTATCAGTTGGCAAATTCAGAATGCCAGCATGTGGGCCTTCCGAAAATCCGAAGCTTTCCTATCCTAGCCACAGACATTTGGGCTGTCAAACAAGCCAAGGGGCCCCCAGGCAGCCACTGCATTACCACCCAAATACGAGAAGTCACTGTTTTGGATGGTGGTGTCCCTGTTGTAGCCAGAAACCATAACTGCGTTACCCTCAAGGCGATCGAACACACAGCCATCAATGAGCGTGTTCTGGGTGCCTGGGCCACGTTTACATCGACGAGTAAAAAATAATGTTGGTTGCTTCTTGGGTGCCACCACCCCTCAAAACTTGGCTAGACTGTGCTCTGGGGTGCCCTGTAGGAAGACGGCAGAGAAGCGATCCAGGGCCCAGTCGCCTGCTGAAGGCACGCCGTGTGGCATCATGTAGGTGGGAGCGGACGCGCTGAAGTGAATGCCCTTCACCTGATGTAAGTTACCCTTCTTTGCACTTTGCATGTCCCACTATGCTTTCTAGCACTAATATTGTTCTACTACAATGTTGCTGATATAGTAGTGCCGTTCCAAGCTATGAGGAAACCCTTGGCGTTCAAAACCCTTTAAAAACACCCCCTACGTGGCGACCCCCCCTCCCCCCCGCCAGACCATCCCACCATCCAAAACCTCCTCTCCCCACCCCCCCCTCCCCCG